GTAGTAGTAGTAGTAGTAGTAGTAGTAGTAGTAGTAGTAGTAGTAGTCGTCACAGCAGCAGTGATAGTGGTGATAGTAGTAGTAATAGTAATAGTAGTACTACTACTGCCACTACTACGGCTACTACTGCTACTCCTCCTCCTACTAATAATAATAATATGTAGTGCTTTCAGGTTTGCAAAAAACATTTTTAAAACATTTGAATAATCTAGGAAGCCAAGTATACACTTAACTAATATAAGCTAAGATTGCCAGAAGAGAGGCTCAAAAAAGTACAGCTGGGATTGCAGAGGAATAAAAAAATTACATCTGGTGTCATTAGGGTGGCTTCGTGGAGGAGGTTACATATGAGTTGGGTCCTGTTTGGATCCGATTTTAAATGTGGAGATAACCACAGAGGACATATGACCCTGACCAAACAGTCAGAGATAGGAAAATGCAAGAGGTATTTGAGGACTGAAAGTATGGAGGAGAAATGGGAGAATAAGGCTGAAAATCAGTAGGGTGGGAGCTTTATCATGTTTATCATGGCAGGCCTTGAATGTCAGGCTGAGGACAATAGGGGAAGGGAATAAGCATTTCTATATTGCCTACTATGTGCCAGGTACAATGCTAAGCACTTTACAAATATTATCTCATTCAGTGCTCACCACAACTCTAGCAGGTGGGTGCCATTATAATTATTCCCATTTTATACAGTTGAGGAAACTGGGAAAAACAAGTGAAGTGACTTGCCCAGGGTCACACAGCTAATCAGTGTCTGAGTCTGAGTTCGAGTCTCAGGTCTTCCTGACTCCAGGCCAAGTGCTCTGTGCACTTTGGTGCTACCTGGTGGGTGACCTTGCAAAAATAGACTTCATTTAATTGGCAATCTGAACAGGCAGTCCAATCAACAAGGCTATTAGAATAGAGTGGTAATGAAGGTCTGAACTAGGATAATGACATAGGAAAATTTGACAGCATCCCATTCCTTGCTTGCAGAGCTAACATTTTTCAAGAAGTTCGTAGGGGTCGAGGAAATTGAGAAGTGGTGCTAGAGTACCCCACTCAACTAGCAGTTATTCAGCACCTACTGTGTGCCACCAGCTGCCTAAGGCCCTGAGGTTCCCAAGGCAAAGTGGAATAGCCTCTGCCCTCTAGGGGATAGGGGGGTACTATAGGATAATGAGAATGGGGGGGCGATCCTCTGGTATAGTGGAAACACCTTTGGTTTCGCAGTTGGAGCTTTGGGGTTCAATTCCTTGCTGTGCCAACATTGGATAAGCCAGTTCCCTTCTTTGGGACCCCATTTCCTCTGCAAAATCAGGAGGTTGGGCTTAGATTAGAGGTTCTTAACCTCAGGACTATGAACTTGTATTTTTTTCCCCTCCATATTGTGTTAACTGCATTTCGATATAATTGGTGTCCTTGGTAATCCTGTGTATATTATTTTATGCATTTAAAAGCCTTATCCTGAGAAGGGCCTCTTCTGTAGGCTTCCCCAGACTGCCCAAAGGGGTGCAAGAAGCAAAAAAGCAGAAGAATCCCTAGACTGGATGATTTCTCAGGTCCATTTGAGCTCTAAATTTACAATCCCATGATCCCACTGCCCCAGGAGCAATAAGACATTCGATTTTCCATAGCTCTGTCTCTGCCCAAATTACAAGGGTAGGGTGAAATGTGTGGGAAGGAGGAAGGCAATAAGCATTTATATAGCCCCTCTGTGCCAGGCACTGTGCTAAGTACTTTACGAATATTATCTCATTTGATTGTCACAACAACCCTTTGAGGTAACTACGGTCATTATCCCCATTTTACAGTTGAGGAAACTGAGGCAAACAGACTTACCTAGGTTCACATACAAGTCAGTGTCCAAGGGCTGATGTGAACTCATGTCTTCTTGACTCTATCTAGATGTGTACTTCAAGACAGAAAGAAAGTTCATGCCCTCAACTCTCCTTTGTCCAGAAGGGTCATGGAATGAGATGTTCTGGTTAATTGAGAGCAAACATGAGTATCATATGAGGGTCACCAGTATTTAAAAAGTAAATCACAGGCAATTTAGCAGCATTGAAATCACAGATCCTTGAAGCAATGGCTCTGTAGTCAGACGCCCCAGGTTCAAATTCCACTTCTGGCCCTTGTTATATAACCTGTGTGGTGCCAGGCAAGTCAGTTGCTCCTCTCAGTTTCCTCAAGTCAAGAGGCACTTAGTTTGTGTTAATCATTGGGGATACTAAGAAAGGCAAAGTGAGTCACTGTCTTCAAGGAGTGTGCAATCCAGTGGGGGACACAATGTGAAAATAACTGTGTGCAAATAAGATATATTCAGGATAAAATTGGAGGTGATCACAGAGGAAATGCACCAGCATTATAAGGGACCAGGAATGGCTTCTTGTGGAAGGAAGGTAGGATTTTTTTTTTAATTTATTTTGAGTTTTCAACAATCACTTCCATAAGTTTTTGAGTTTTAAATTTTTCTCCCCCTCCCTCCCCAAGACAGCGCACAGTCTGATATAGGTTATCCATATACATTCCTATTAAACATATTTTCACATTAGTGATGTTGTAGGTAAGAATTAGAACCAATAGGAAGTACCACCAGAAAGAGGAAACAAA